CATGTGTGTACTGTTTCCCTGCGGGTTAATCTACCAGAGTGCTTCGGGTTTAGGGGCTACAGAGATGAGAGTAGTTGCTATCGCACCCAGAATTACGGGTAGTATTTAGGTGGAGGATGGTGTTTTCGTTTTATAGCATACCCGTGCACAGGGGTTGTATCTGCTGCCTTGCGGTAAGGTAGATGCCCATGGCACTGGAGTTCCCTAAAACCATTAATAAATATCAGTAGAATTAGCAGTCTGTGATGAATTGCGTCTAAACGAACTATGCATTATCATGGGAAGCAAACCATTTAAGTTAGACAATCAAAGCAAATCATTTTACTTATTACAACCAAATTTGGTGTTGTATATGTCCTTTTTTATCGTTTATTCAGTTCATTATGCTCACTAGGAATGTCCACTCATAAATTATCGCATAATTTACATCATCTTAAACGTCCTGGTGGACTGCACTTTAAATTTTTACTTCCACATTGTTCATCATCTTTGCGTAAAGCATTCGTGCATCAAGGCATTTAAACATTCCGTGTTGAACTAACCACGTAATAGGTGAAAATGTTTTTCCACTTACTAAAATGCCTTAATGTTAAGTAAAGGGACATAATTTCTAGGACAAGTTTGTTCTCGTATTACTACTTATAAAGGTCATACCAGCCTACTTCGGAACTCACTAACTAATTAGTCGGCCAACCAAATAATGAACTGACAGCTGTAATCGTTCTATAATTGAGGCTCTTCATTTTTTATGTAATTAAGCCAACAATTTTATTTATTTGTATTTTGACTCTGTATTTTTCTGTTCAAATGATCCAATTTTCCCCCAGAGTAAATACTTTCACACAATCCAGCAGCACAAGTCTAGTTACGACTTTGACGCAGAATGTGGCGTAGTGGAATCACTAGTTTTATGCTTGTCTAATGTCCTCGAAATCCTACATATTAACTCAAAATTACGAGGCAAACCTTTTATTATTTTACGAATTATGTTGAATTAATTTAAATATATGTACAATTATAATACTGCGTTTATATTTGAATCAAGTTCGGTTTACTAAAGCAAGTAAAGTCATTTATCGCACTGCTATCTTTAACAATTCATAAACCTTCTTTGCATCTAGGAATTCGTCTGCTCAATGTTGTACTTCCACTTCTGAGCATGCTTAATAGCCTCGAAATCACTTTCTTGAGGAAGCCTGCAACTCAAAATTCCTTCTATTTCTACTTACGCAGAGTATCCACCACGGTGTCTAATTGCCTAACATCGTAGAACTTGGTGTTAGAGTCTTCCTTTGGCAAAAACTGGGCTGTATTTGCTTTACTGTCCCTGCGAAAAGAAAGGCATCCTCCAAAAGCTTACACGGCTTTAGCGTTACGTGGGAATTTGACGCCAAGCATCGCGTCTTAAGCCATTTCTGGCACATAAGAATTTGCACAGTCCTGGTTGCTTTGCCTATACAGACCAAAAACGACGTCTTTTTTTCTACTACCTCCTACTTCCCTCCTTCTGCACATAAACTTGTAGACGGAGATGCCATGATATTCTTGTAACATAGCGTGGGGACAGCTTGAAGATTTATCCTTGATCTAGCTGCACCCTAGTTAAGAAGTCCCCGCCAAACACGACGCTCTAGTTTGTCTTTGACCTGCACAATGAATGTGAAGCGTTGAGGAGCAAGCAGAAGATGGAAAAGGAGCATTAACTTTAACTTGAAGCATAGTACTACGAAGTACGATGTGAGAGTGTCTAGTTTGATGGTCTAATAGACATGTGATGATGCGAATGTGGTCAAAGCTCCAGGTGCTTCTAGGACGCGGACTCAATCAGCTGGCTGAGGGAGTTGGTCTTCATGCTGCAGTGCTCCCTCACCATAATGGATGGTTGAACTCCAAGCCTGACTTAAGCAGTTAGCCATCCGGCAACTTCAAATTCACTTTGGACCACAGAATATGAGCAGATGCTTTTAAATGCCTTTCACTGGGTGCCCATTTTATTCGACCTTCCAATTATAAGTGATGAAATAACAGAGTACTCAAACTACTAAATGTTACTCAGTATGATTTTAGCTGAAGGCATATTGAAACACTTCTTTCTTCCACAGAGGCATTAGGACGGTTTGCGTGCATTCCTTGCAAATACAGCTACCGGCCCTTCTGTTATCTTCAGGCTCATGCAAATAACTTTACAATGACAATTTATCTCACTCTCCTGATTTTTTAATTAAGCCTTATAGATTTAGCACCATAACAGTAACTCCACTTAGTTAAAATTTTACCCAGCTTCGGAGAGTAATACCAACTTCTAAGATAAACAATCTGTCCACTACTCTAAATTATTCGTGCCTACAATACCAACCCCTAATAAAACAATGGTTTTAACTCAATTTTTGGGGCAGCTTATCTGTGGAAATGAAATGTCTGCATTGAATGGCTACTTCTTTCCCTGTTCGTAGAACAACAACAAATAAGTTTATTGATATCGCCTTAAAATAAAATTGCAGCTAACCGAGTAACGAGTTATAAGATTTTTTGGAATAATTTTCGATCGCCTACATCACGTTCCATTCTTAAACGACTTCTTTTTTTCTTCCTAAAACCCCTCCGAAATATACAAATCCATCCGTTGCACGCGAGCTGTGGCGACGTTGTCGCCAGCTGCTACACCACAGGTGCTGAAGCAGACGATTATTAAAAAAAGAGAAAATAAAAGATAAGCAGCTGGCAGAGAGCCATCGCACATTTGTTTCAATCACGCATAATTAATTTCTCTGACTTACCTGCAATTCACCGTGTAGGCGTTAAGTGGTGCACTCTTGACCTCGTCTATCTTGCTCCACTGTAATTCTAAAATTATTGTCCTAATCATGCACAAAATGCATGTGACAAATACAAAACAACTAATTTAAGCTACATTGCATCAGCTATTAACTAGTGGTGGTTTTTTGTTCTACGAAACTGTTAGTGATACAGTTCACCATCGATATCTCTTCCACTAAATATGTAAAAGGCAAGGAACAGCATATCGTATGACTGAGGGAGGCATTTGACTACACTCTTCGTCCTTCAGCTAAACCTTACAACCTTGCAACTTCGGTGTGCCAATTTAGTCAGCTTTCCGGCACCCTCTGTTGCCATGACTTCCCACCAGATCAATCCGAATGGAAACGATGGTCAATTGATACGATTGTAACGCAAATACGTTGAATAGTGCAAGCGGAGGTAGACGAATATAGAAATCCGTTACCCCCTTTTTTCGAGTGGTCGACTGTGAATGGATGCTGACCTACGCCGTACAATCAAGAATGTGGAAGACAGACCAATCTCGCGCTATAACAATGCCCATGTGCAAACATTAATGCACACATCTGGGTGTGCAGGTTTAGGGAAGCTTCACAAAGCCTATTTCAAGCAGAATACTATGAGAACAACGATATTGTAGTCTCAATTGCGGCATATTCTTTGTTTAAGGCAGCTTGCGTTGAAAATGACACGAATTTCTACTTGGTGTTTCATTTTCTGTGTGAATTTGTGTTGTGTTGTGTTTCATATACCGCCTATCAGTCCACTTCAATTGTCTCTAACACACGCCGGCTATTTCAAACCCACTGACTGAACATGAGCACGACTACCGGGATCACCTGCGAATAACGCCACAAAAGCACGATACGCCCACAGAGTTAAAAAAGAACGCCATCCTTTCTGTGCCTGTAGGCATTCCCAATACAAGCGGTCGCACAGCCCAATAATACGTAATTTTGCAATGTGTACGAATGCACAATTTGCTTTGTAGGTCATGAACACGACATTCCGTAGGCTGTAGTGACTTTCCAGTCCTCATATTAGCACACCACGCACAGGCTGTACATGCGACTTATTTCTGCATCAACGATGTCACTCCAACTCTGTCTCGTTCTGCTGGCATCCTCCATTATGCATGGAGAATTTGCGCTGGTACTCCGTAAGACACCTGCGTTTTATTGCTCCACTCTGGTCAGCACATGTGTAGAATCCAAATGATGAACTCAATTACTTCATTTGTAAAATACTTTATTTATCGATGAAAACGGCGCATCTATTTTATTTTATAAGGTTGGTAGATCGCGCGTACATACGGTGGACAGGTAACTACATAAGTTAAGCCAGGTGACGATTTTGAAAGACAGGAAGAAATGCTTACCGCATTCATGTCTATTTGAGGGTCGATTTCGTAGTAAAAATATAAAAGAAATGCTTTAATGGAAAATATTAGATTAAATCAATTAATTAAATTGGTCGCTTTGAGTTTCCATATGAAATGACATTCACTGAAATTTTACAAATACATGGTTTATTAACAGATGTTACATGCAAAAAACAATTAATACACCTCTAAAAGTGATTATCGATGTTGCATTTAGCCACATGATTTGCTCCCCAATTTTTCCGTCACCGTTGTATGTACTTCCGTTCAGGAAGATGGCTGAAGGACATGTATGCAAACTCCCAAATATTTAGTAGGTTGGTCTTAAATTGCACTTCTTACAAATACGACTTGCTGCAAAGTCAAGAAAGAGTCGATGCACTACACTAACACTCCATCATAAATTTAGAAGTAAGTCTTTTAATTAGGGATAAAAAAATTGTCTTTTTTCTATGAGGTCGATGAATCCTAAGCAAAAGAGCCTTCTAGTTAAAACACAATTTGGTAGCCACTTTATCAAAACCCAAAATGGTTTTTGATCAATAGATTGCAGATGGCGGTGAGTTTCTACTTTATGACTTCTAGAACGTCACTTATAAAGCACACAAATCAAAATTAAATGGCAGCCTATAAATTGCTTAACTCATGAAAACGGTGATTTTTAATACAAAAAGCAGATAGTCAGATAATATTAATCTTAAAAGACATGTTTTTAGTAGATAAGACAAGTTTTGTTTGAATCAACCAGAAGTAAAGCCCTTCTTCCACAGCGGCTCGGTAGCGCCTCATTCGGATATAGTTGTGTGTTTCTGAATAGTCCATGGGGGTGTGGTTCTTAACGCTTTTGCTTCTACTTATCGCTAGTGTTTATGGTAAGTTAAATTTTGCTCATCTCTTTAGGCGTTTACTCCTCAAAGGGTCGTCCTGGAACTCGTTCCCCTTCTCATAACTCCAAAGCCTCAGTTTCGGGCCCTATAACAAGTTCCGGTCTGTATGTAGCGTATCGTTATTTTTGATTTAGTGCACACATGCAATGTCCAACGTTTGCATCAAAATTTAAATCCTCTATTTGCAAAATAGCTTGATATGTGGGAAATAATACAAAATTCTTGTTCCCTTTTATAGTTGCTTTTTTAGATCTATGGATTTGGTTTTTTCTCTTCAGATCTCATTACAGAAAGTTACTTCTTGCAGCTAGTAGTATGATTGGTGTTTATGCAGGCTTCAAACTGGCTTCGAGTCCTGATATTTGCAAGTCAAATTTAATGTATTCTTCCTCATACAATAATAAATAATTCATTTTAAAGAAAAGCCAAAGTAGATGATTGAGTTTGAGTTTACTTCCGAAAAATGGTCCAAATTTACTTACATGGCTCATTCTCTTCGTCTCTGCGCTTAATCTAAGCCTTGTCATATCACTGGAAGCTTCACTTTTCTGGTATTGTAAATGCGTCAAAAAATTGTCCTTTACAGCCACTATCAGTACAAGTAGGGTGTTGGGGTTTTTAAAGGCATATATTTTGACCAATAATTTAGGTTATTGGTTTTGATGGACTTTAATACGTCTAAACAGTATTGATAAGAATTATTATCTCCTTTTCACTCCTTAAGATCAATACACGATATGCAAAGGGAGAAGAGTGGAGGTAGATTCATCTGGAGTCTCAAGAGAATATAAGTACACGGTGTGTCCTCGCCATCTTCGCTACTGCTGTCGTAGTGAGTTTGGCGATGGTGAAAGATGCTGTCCCGGGCCTTTTTAGCAAGTTTGTCTTTATTTCTGGGGTGATTTTTATCATCGGTTCTTGGTCTCTTTACCGTCCAGATATGTTGCCCTGTCATCAAAGCATTCAAAAAGTACTAATGCTTTTATTTGTGGTGGATTTCCACACATATTTACTTAGGTCACTGACTAAGTCACTTGAACTACAAGTCTGCGTAAACACACTATTTGCTGTGGTACTCTGTAAATTTCTATCAAGGTCAATCTTCATATCTGACCACACTTGCCTCAGATGCACCTGTCTTATGGGAGGGATACTGAAGAGTCCTCACATTCGATTACAAAGTTTTCCATTTTTTTCATAACTTTAATTGGCCTAAGCTCATTTGTTGGTAAGGTCTTGCTTCCTCCCTAACTGTAGAAATGATTCGATATTTGCGCAACCTTGCAATGCTTCTTCACTTGTCTCCTAACTCGTTCATTGCCAGATTCCCAGATAAATGTCGATGATCGAAACCTTGATGCTTTATCACTTTGATTTTATTTTTAGACAAACTTTGTCCTTGCTCAGTGTAAATGATAATTGTAGCTCTCCTTAGTGAATACTTCACGTGAACCACTTTTCGGTGAGTTAGAATTAGCATGTATTTGGTTGTGACAACTTGATGGGAACATTCACCATAAGCCAACTTAAGACACGTGTCACATATATGATATCGGATAGTTAATAACACCAAATTTAGAGGTCTAAATTGATGTAGGTTGTTTCAGTTCGGTAGTGCAAAAACTATGGCTGTCACTTTCTTTCTTGGATCTTGATGACGAACGTGTTCCCTACTCTAGCGTGTCTTATATGATCATTAGGTAGTTTCTTATCTGTCGGTAAAATGTTATTGGTGGTAGATTGTTCTTTAAAAAATCCCCAGAACGTTTGTGATACTTGTATTTCTATGCAAAGATATGTTGGATTAAGGCAGCAAACATGTGATATTTCGATTTTGTCGTCCTTTAAACCGGTGTCTACAACTCTTGCTCCACCTGAATGAAATAGTCAAATTGCCGTTATCTGACGTAATTGGCATGTGATAGCTGAATCCATCACATGACTTTACATCAATTACGGTGGGTGTTAAATGCACCCACTCGTTTGCCTTTAGGGATTCTCATCTCAATAAAAAAGTTTCTGTCATGAAATAAGATGAGCAATAAATATCGCTTCTGCTTTAATTTACCATTTCCTCTTTCCTCGAAATCTCTCGTTCTACAAGCATCGCCAATGTCGATATATTCTCTTGTCCTCTTATGAGATTAGTGTGCTTTTATAATGGTAAATTTGAAAATGTGAAGTTGCGTAGGAATACAATAACCCAACCTCAGTTTTATCTTCTATTTTTTGTTTGACTCGTTTTGAATACTGATTGCGTAGGCGTCTATTGTTTTCATCCACTAAAATTCAAACGAAGGTATGTAACACCCTAAAACTCACAAAAATTGTTTCCCTTTCCTCTGCCAATAGTTTAAACCGGATCCAGTCCATATTTTCATGACCTGCTTGACTAAATTTTTCTAGGTTTTTTGCTTGTCTTAGCTTCTGTGCTTTTAATTTTAATCGGCTTGATTGTGTGCTCGACAACCTATCTTGTCTCGTGTAGATAACGTGTCTTAAGGGAATATTCGTGCTGCTTTTGCATATATTGTAAATCTCTAGCCCTCTTGGACCATACATCAGGTTTATTGTGAATTCACTTCCAGTCCACTTTCTTTTACTGCTCTTCTCTTCAGACTTCGCATCTTGGCCCATAGCCTTTTACATCCATAATCACCTATCATTCACTTACAGGTCAGTAGATTAAGCAATCAGCCTTTCCCCTTAGTGTATACGTCAGATATTTTTACACGCGAGGTTGTCACCTAGACCTCACTGAAGGTGGCCGCATGAGTTTTCGGTGTGGATGTTGACCCACGCGATTAAAACATAGGATGTGCTGTCTGCTGCTGCAGTCACCGCAATTCGCAGTAACATTGCCACGAGGAAGTGGTAGGGCCTTGTTTTTTACCGTGTACATGCATCCTCCAAGGGTTCACAAGATACTCCTAATTAAGCTGGCAGACAACAGTAGTACTGTATGCAGGCAGCGAAGGCATTAAATCCGAGAAAGCGAATATCTACTCCAAGTGCCGGATACCAATAGAACACGTAATCTCGCACCAACAAGGAATTTAAGTGGTATAAACTACTCAATGACGGCTATCAAAGGCGACCTATTATTGACGATCTTGGGAGTGGTGCTTTTTCACCCTACAGAATGAGTATTTATGTATGTGCATATGTGGTTCACATGAGCGACGCATAAACTAATCTTTAGTGAAGATGAGCACCAGATTATATCCGAAAGATAAACACAACGTATGCCCTCCTGAGCGCAAAAATGCTTGATTTTCGAAAAGTTACCACAAAATTATGGAGCCATTCCTTTCCGCCTTTTATCCTTACTTTCTCTTGTAGAGCCAAAACGGAAACACATTATAGCACACTATCGTCGTTTTCTTAACACAATTTTCTTACCCGAACTCGCACGTCACAAATACATGACGTCTTTGTTAAGTAAGAAGTAAAGTAGATCAAAAGGGAGAAAATCCCTCGTGGTCTTTATGTCGTAACGATAGAACGCCGGAGGTGATGACTGATTTTACTCCGGTAGTGCATTCCCTTAATGCTTGATGTTGTCTAGGAGAATGAAAATATTATTTTGCTGCTTTGTACGCAATTCCAGCTACCGTGGACCATGGGTAGCGGGGTATATCTTCGGTGCCCTTGTGGTGGTAGCGAGCATTGGATTGTTGGTATACTTCTGCTGTCTCCATCGTCGTGGCAAGCAGTCACCATCGGCAGTGGATGAGGTACAAGACGTTCCGTCGACACCACCGCCTCCACCGCCGAATTTTGCTAACGCGGTGAGTTTACTCTATGTTTATCGCTTTGTTTTTGCCTCTTTTCGAGCATTGACTCCAGTCTCCACTGATCTGTCCATCGCAAGTCTTTCTGTAATTTGCTTTTGTTTACAAGCCAGAATCGAAGATGATATGATAAATCCGCACCTCGGAACGCTGCCTGGTGGTTGAGGCATATTCCGTAGAACTAGTTGAAATTCCTGGACATTGCACCCTCAGCACACTTAGCTGCCGGAAACGCAGAGGTGTCACTTCTTTGCGTACCTCACACATCCTTCTATAAATGTCGTAGACAGTCCTATCGTAAATATTTCCTACCCTGTCTCCGCTTTGGCTTTTAGTTGTCTTACCTCAGATCACAGGCTTGGGTAACCTTCAACAGTGCCGTATCAATAGCCCTTTAGGAAGCTTGTCACCTCAGGGCTAACCAATCTTTTTAGGCCGATCTTTTTCCAACCAAATGTCAGGGGAAGTGGTTATTCTCTTTGACTTAGCTACACTACTTTTCACGTATTTGCCAAAAAAAATCGAAGTTTTAAGTTACCTTTTACCTTAGGGTACGAATTTATTCTGGATGACCCATCAGTGGAAACTCAATAAGTCAGTGTATCTGGCTTTCATTAGTACCACATTAATGCTCCTTAGTCGGCTTTTTGGTGTAAAGAGAGGTCATATCTTCATAATCCCATCTTTGTTTGCTCCTTGTAAAACATTAAGATTAGCAGCCCTTCCATAGAGGATTTGAGCCCCCCCCCCGTTTATATTAATAATCTCGCTTCGTTGATCACCACTACACGGAACTTAGCGCTTTGACGAAAACTCTACCTTGGAACCTCCGTAAAACTTGATGCATTCGACGCAAGGGTCCGAGGTGCTAAACATATCTCGTATCTGGAGGTAGCTTTACTACCATTACATAGAAGTACTGGAGAATCAGTGGCGTAGGTAGCTGATTCATATGTTGATTAAATGTTTTTCTAACTAGTATATATCAGTACAATTAATTATCATTTAGCCGTATTATGTTGTTCAAATGACTTAGCGAATTGCTGAAATATGCTGCGCTCTGCCAATGCATCAGATACTTTTGTTTGCGAATCCATGAGTGTTTTATTTGCCAGGGCTAAAGGGAGGATTTCCAGCTCAATATAAAGCTTTTAGTAACCCCTTGAACTCGAGTTGGTTAGTTACTGCCTACTACCCCTTTAGCGCCCTCCTTTTTGCATGGCCTTCTCACCTTTATCCATCATATTTTGCTGTTTTTTAATCCCTTTTGGCCACATTTCTGAGAAACACCAACACTGACTCCTGTTTTTGCCCGGAATTGCGATTATTTGAAAATAATACTTGCTCGCTTTCTTCAGACGGCATAAGTAGCATTTTACAATTACACACTGTTAGAGGAATATTTTTTTATAAACCTTTGTTGAACACGTTTACTATCAAGGGACGGAAGGTAAATGGACCAACATTTGCTACTCAAAAATGCTACCACATTCTGTAAAAACAATTTACCGAATGTAGATACTTTCTGATTAGGAGTTACCATAATTTGCTTTACTGCTTTAAGCTCCAGTAGTCTCTGCGATTCGACTAGTTGCTGCCAGTTGCCATTAAACTGCAGAAGAATATGTATTACTTGTTCGTGAAGTCGGGATTGTAAATGTACGTAAGAGAAAAACGCGTTTTTTTAATGGTACCATGACACGGTTGTAGGTGGCGAGTAAGCCTGTCTAAATCTCGTATTTGAATGCATGATTAATTTGTAGGTTGGATCACTGAATTCTATTAGCTATTGTCATTTTTGTCTTCTTTATCAAAATCCAGCCGCCGCCCTATCCCGCTTCACCCCCACCGGGCATCCAGCCACCGCCGTATCCAGCCGTGACCGCACCGGCCCCGACTGCTCCTTATCCAGCACCTACCAACGTCGCTCTGGGCTCGAGCTTGACGGATGTGCCTCAGCCCCCTCCCCCGCCTCCTCCCCCTTATTCCGCCTCATAGCTACTCCCGTTGCGGCACACCGTCTTTTTTGGTTGGTCTACTTCATTTTCTATGACCAAAAGTTTCACTGTCCCTTGTAGATCAGCATCAAAGGCCTGTGGCGACCATTTTGTCAAGCAGATTGAGATTTTTGTTTTATATTACTGTCGGCGTAAATTTAAGTGACTGTTTTACTGCTCCCTTTTATCGCAACGTTGCCTTATCCCTTCACTTTTTAGATGATTTTTCATATGACGCTTGTAAGCCTTTAATAATAGATGTTAATGCGTGCTTTGGTTTGTCTGTCAGGCTTAGAGGAATTGGTTGCTTGAAGCTTGTCTGGCGGCTCTTGTCGAGATATATATTAGACTATGTAGGACCTGTCTTGCTTGCAGTTATTTATCGCCGCAAAAAGGGTAGTAGTCTACTGCTTCGTAGTGAATTCATGGTAGTAGGCACCTAAGATTAGCGAGATATTATTCTCATTTATTTTTGGATAGTGGGGTGAGTTATCAGTGAGAGCTGATGCAATGGAATGCAAATATGAGTACATACTCTAAGATAATCATAATTATAATTATTAACCAAATTTTGATTATGTATACATTTTCTGCTTTAAGAATGCAAAATCGTAATGATAAAGGAGCCTAGTACCTATACGTCCCAATTCAAGCAAATTAGGGTTCTGAAAAAACGACTTGCATAGTTAAAGTTATAGCTAAGTTTAATATAATAGGACAATTAACATAGCGATGATTATTATGATTGTTTATTCACATTTACGATAGCATGTACTGGTTCCGCGGAAATTGTGCTACATGAGAAGTGGTGTGCAGTCGGCCTTTGTCACTTGCTTTTCAGTGGGGGGGTAGTGCCCTTGGTCGGGTTGCGTTGGGATCTTTAGGGTGTACTCCTAAAGAAGAGGTAATTTTGGTTGTGTTTTATCTCCATCTCGGCCACCTGTTAAGCAAAGAAATACAGCGAAGTTCAGCATTGTGGGTCTTTCCTACACGCCAGGTACTTTCGTCTTCGATCACAGAAGACTGCTTACTGGTGGTAGTCATTCTGCTGGTAACCACTGTGAAGACGGTATTCTTGTGTCCCATTTAAATTTGTTGCTCGCTTTGGGAGGAATTAATTCGGGTCACTCTTTCAAAACCTTCTGAAATCCCAATCTTAACTTTTAATGTACTTTGGAATGTATCAAGAAATACTTGACCAGTGAATATGAACTTAAGTGCACAAGTTTAAATCATTCTATGATCCACCCGAAACGAGTGCACTTGTTTACCATGAACCACCAGAATTACATGTCTATAAAGGCTTGAAATTCGACGCGTACTTTTTGATTTTGTTATCCTCCTCATCCATCTTAGAGGCAGAAAGTTGGTCCACGTTATTATGGATCCTATGCTCTCAAAATTTATCCAGCCTCATCAATGAGAAGTGAGTCATGATTTCAAATGGGTATTGCTAAATGAAGTCAAATGTATGTATGATTTTGTGATCACACGTTTCTTCCCTTAACCCGATTGTATATTTTGATTTCCCTAGATCTTGATCTAGTGTTTGACAAGGTGCACTCCGGTTATGACAATTTTGAGGGCAGGCTTAGCTTTTACCCTGGTGACTACGCCAGTTGTTGCGAATGCGGTCGGTCAGCTCAGCCAGAACTGTCGGACAAGTGGCTCCGCCCAAATACTGTTTCGTCTCTCCCCCTCTTGAGGCAAATTCCAAGTGCTTTGAATGTTAAGGTTGTGTCCACTTTGTACTACACTCAAATGTCAGATCTGTTTGAAGGCTTCTGTGGGCACAGAAAGTCCGTTTCTCACTTCCATTAGCATTTGCTTTGCCAATGATGCAAATTCTTATTCGCCTACCCTTTTCCCTCGAAAAGTTGTCGATATTTTCGGCTCAATGGAACGATTTATACTGGGAAGAGGTCGAAGGTAGTTTAAAAGTTCAACGCTCTGTACAATGAAACGCGGCATTACGCATCCGAGCAATACTGAGCTCGCCAAGATGTGGGTCGTGGTGCTGCCCGACGGTAGTTCAGTTAGCAGAGCTGAAATCCTTAAGTCGGAGTGTTTTTTTCTGTGGTCCTTTTGCTAGTTTTAGTTGCACCAAAAAATACTGCTTACTTGCACTAGCCCCCTGGCCCCACTCTTCTCCGGTTCTTGCCTCCCTACGTGTACTTACTTCGGTCCTTTTGTGGTCGTTAGGATTTCGCGTGTTATGCTTGTGTCGCTTGGACATGGACAGGCATGATGCCGTGGGTTAAATTGCAGTAGCGTCGGATTATATTATATAATCTGGTGGGAATGAAAATATTTGCGGTATGACGTTATTTTTTGTAATGTTTCGTGGACTTTTATTGAGGAATTGAATCTTGATTGTTAATCTGCTGTAATACACAAATTGAAAGATATTCGCGATGAGTTAAAGCTCTCGAATTGCCCAAAACCCAGTGCTATTTTAACTCTCCAAACAAAAGTGATACGGTGTTTATTGAACAACAAGTTCGGATGCTATTTAGTGACTAGTCGCTTTTCGCTGCTGTAAACACGCTTCTGATCTGTTAAAACAGAACTGTTCATCTGCTTCCAACCGCATTGACCTTCTGTAATTCACACTTGCAAATTTAAGCAATCTGTCAGTGACGTAAATTCTTGACCACTGGAAGAAATTGAAGAGCAATTCATTGAAACATCGCGGTGATTGGGGACTATCACATTGTAGATACTAGTAATAGCCATCCTCTTCTCTTTGGCTCTATAGTTTCGTGTGGAACGTCGGTGGATGGTGAAACTTTGTGCTGACAGGCTCAGTGACACCCCAGACCACTTTTTATCGGAGAAATCTCTGGCTTACAACTACTGCCTTCCGTTATACGCTGTTCCTTGAGTTGACACAACCACTCAGGTTAGAAATCATTTACATGTGGTCTGAATGCACGATTGCCTTATTAATGTATGTGCAAATAAGTTTGGTCTTGTTGACATTTGCACTTCCAAATACAATTATCCTCATGTCAAGCACATCCCAAATGTCCCACTCTTACGGAGACATTTTAGTCATTTTAATCTAATGAACTGACAAAATCTGATAGGGAACCTACACTATATAAGACCTTATGAGTCACATGCATGACACTGATAGCTAGTTCGTCAAAGTAAAATTATTGCATTAATCAGCCTTTGTTCGTATGAGTTCATCTTTAACTTTGTGCCCTGAAAAGCGTGTTTTATTATTATGTGGTCATGTAGGTCTTTTAAGTTTTGCGTCGGATAAGTCGTCTCACCCACGCAGAGATCTGCCGCTCTCATTATTCTTCGTTTTAATCCGTAGATGTAATACAATCGTCCACTTTTCGATAGTGCCTACATTCCCAGCTGATTTGCCCATAATTCTCACTCTTTTGCGTCGTGCTACTGAAACAAATTCAATAGCGTGATTGGGGGCTATTCGCTTTTGTTACACGTAAGCCGTACCCATTCATGATGGCTGGTTCCACCAAGTTGTCACCAATGTTGATTGAGTTCATGCTAACTAATAGGCTATAGCTATCAAATCTGCGGTTTGAGGAGGTCGGATACCCTATGGGTCATGATTTTCCAATCTTTTCCCACCCCCAAATTCAATTTTTTGGTCTCCTGGCATCTACTGCAAGTCTCTCAAGCGTGTTACGCTTATTCGCTATGGGTGTATCAAAACGCTCTCTCGAATCCATAAATACCCCCATTTTTCTCCCCTTCCTTAACTTAATGCTTGTAAAAACGCTTTGATTGGTTTATTTTTCTAGTCACTCGCCATCCTTGTGCTACTTCACAAGCATTTCGATGATGATAACGATATTTGAGGAAGAAAAGGAGGGATCGCGACATTCCTCTATGCTCCGAAACCTTTTTACGACTTTCACGTTGGCTTTTGAGCGTCGGCTTTTGGATTTGACTTTGTGCATTTACTGGGGGAGGAGGGGGACCTTCTAGAAAATGTACGCTTTTGTTTTACTACCATGTAAAATTTTTGCTGCAGAACACCCTTGACAAATGTATATTTAGTGAATAGATAACGAAGTGCATTGTTGTCTAAAGGAATATTTCCATGTACGGGAGTATACACTTGAGATATAGTTCCGATGATGTGTGATGTTTTCATTCATGATATGAAGGTTAGCTCGGATTCTGGGGTGGGTAATTGGAGGGGACCTTACATGATTACTGGGGAGTTAGTGACTACCCTGCTGGGATGGTGACGTCGCGACGTCAGTCAGCACTTCAAACTAGTGGTTGCGGGAGCGTGTGACGTTTAGGCTTTTGATTGGGTTTTTGGTAGTGTGTCATCCCACCACCTGGCGTAATCGTGGTTGGGCGGGGTAGCAGTTTTTTCGCTTCCAATGGATCCCTTGAATAATTGTTCCATGAAGTGGGAGTGTGTCGAGACCCTGTCTTTTGGGGTATGTGCTGCAATAAGTTTGGAGTTTACTGATTGAGGCACCATGATCGTGCTTCTGTAGTTTATCATTAACGTATTGATGTTAGTATGATAACAGTTCCCTTTAGCTATAAGAGAGACTTTAAGTTGGGGGAGAATTGGAATCGTTGACAAGAATGCCCCACTTCAACTGCTGAAATAACTACAGATATGCCTAACTAACTAATTTTGATTTTTGACAGGTATGTAAAATTCAAGGTCTTCCTTGAATAAAAATTTTTGATGTTTGCGCGACCTAAGAAGGGGATAGGCAGCATTTCATTATCAATACAAATCCGGTTATGCAGGTGAGAGTATGTGGTAATCAAAAAGTATAAATAATGAAAAGTGACCCAATCCTTCCGCCGACTCTGCAATATAGCTTCATTAGATAAATGGGAGGGTATTTATGTTCATGGCTGCAAATTTTTTACTTGAAATCATTTTAAAATCCTCAAACACGAATTACACTAAAAACAACTGAGTATTAATTAAGTAAACGATTAACCAATTTTTATCTTTGATTGGCTAAGCTACAGCTTGGGGCTGAACGCTTTGACCCACATAGTCAGGCTCCCATATCCTCTCGCGAGCATTATATAAAATGGGAACAGCTTTCGAAACTGGTGGGTATCTATTGTTTTTTAAATGATTATTTGTGATCTCCATCTCATGCGGGTCTACATTTATGTAAAACAATGTTTTGTCAGGTGGTTTTGCTTTGTAAGTGCCGGCATGCTGATTTCAGCAGACAGATTTTTAGTATGAAACTATTTCATGAAAATCAATTCTAACTATTTATTACATCTATTTTTTTTCATCAGAATTAATGGTGTGACTTAACTTGCCGCGACGACTCGATATAACATGTGGGAAGTCGTAAAATACGTGTGATACTTCATAAGCTTCCATTATGAGCCGTAAATATGCATAATTTTGCCGACATATTCTCATATTTCCATTTGCGCTCTTTTTATAAACCCTTTTGTTTTAAAATATCTGATGAATCTGGCAGATTTAGCTGAGGCCACCTCACTCAAAAGAGAGTTTTACTCTTACAAGACTTCGTGTCGTACGGCTTGCTTGAGAGATGTGACTTTAAAACGCGAGGCATTTAGGTGGGAATGGAGGTGCCCAAAGTTAACCCTTCTTGTTTCACTGGTTTTCTTTAAATGTCAGTGTTTTTCAATTAAATCATCACCGAAGACGCTCTTAAGATACGCACTGACTTCCTTGGTTCTGCTTGTTGACGAAGCACAAACATCTTCTGAGTCATTAAAGACTATTTCGCATTGTCTGCAGATACTTTCTATCTGTCGTTTTTGACAAGTCCCAGCTTAGCTCTGAGTGTATTTCAAATTATCCATCGAAAGACCAACTTGGCCTAAATAGTTTGCACTTTTCACGTCGTTTTAAGTCACTCGTAATTCATTCTGGTAAATCGTAGTTCATCCTATTCTTCAGATAATTTGTACTCACTTCTTGTTAGGCTTTAACCTCTAACGTGCTGAATGCTAATCTTTTAACTTATTCACGGGGAAAATACATTTTATCGACATAGACTACCATTTAGGTGAGCCTAAACAACTCGCCTATCGTCTCCGAATCTCCTTATGATACTAATAATTCAGTCGTGAAATCCGAGTTGCTCATAATTTTGAACAGTTTGCGTGTCTTACTAAAACGCTTCTTCGGTTCCCTTCTTAAGGTATTATCGTCCAATGTCATCTAGCCGTACATCTACGAAACCATTTGTGTTTTAGTTGTTGGGAATGGGTATTGTGTACGCTTCCTACTGAACTTTTCTACTAGCTGTTAAAACTTGCCGATGTGGCATGCTACATGCTAACTTTGGAAGCTAATCGCAGGAATCCTAGGTTTAGCCAGGAGGGGTTGTCATAGGCTGTGTAAAAATAACTCGTATGCAAGTTTCGAGCCGTTTCCAATTGAAAATAACAACCTTTTAATTTTTCTTCAGCATGTTTGATGACCAGATTGCAGGAAAAAGTTGGTAGTTACGATCCGGGTGTTTTATTGTCTTATTGTGGGATCGGTGGTTCCATTTTTTTTTTTTCTAGTCCAAATCCCACCAATTTAATTAAATGTCACATAAGTGATGTGAGAAATCAACCGAGAAAAGTGGGGAGTCATGTATGTGAGACGCCAGTGACGATAGTGTTTCTTACTTTCGCAATCTATTTACAACTAGCCGACACTGTAATGGCTTTTATTCCTATGTAGAAATGGGCGTATTGCCAGAGCTGTCGAAGGCAGTCCAGGAGATGGACTGGATTCTGCCGACGGACATTCAGAGCGAGGCTGTGCCTCTCATCTTGGGTGGTGGTGACGTTCTCATGGCCGCGGAAACTGGCAGTGGAAAGACTGGTGCTTTCTGTCTTCCTGTCATTCAGATTGTCTACGAGACGCTCAAGGATCTAGAGGGTGGAAAATTGGTAAGCCTGTTAACACTGGGTTTGAGGATAATTCAATGTGTGTCTGTTTACTTGGCCTATAGCAGATAAAATCACTTTATTTAATCTATTATACACGTTAAGTCGGGATGTTTTGAGTTTGTAAGTGGAAAAATAAGTTTTTGGAAAAATTTTGGGTAAAATTCCTACCCATATCTCAGCCCCAAAATAAAGCGATTAATCATTGCGTTTGATCAGTTCTAGGAAAGGGCCTTTCACTTTTCGACATTAGAAATATGCGTGCTGGTGAATGATCGTGTTGTGTTCACTGTTGCCGCAAAAAGATCGGACTCTTGTGCGTTTCCATGCTGAAGAAATATTGATCGGACATCTGGTATCAGAATGCCATTCCACACATTGGATTAATTTTTACAGAAATTACTATTGTGATGGTGATGGGGATGATGTTTATGATGATGACCCACTTGTAACCACCGCATCGGGATCATCACTAACGCCCAGGGGTATGCGTGTCTTTACGACTGACACTATTGAAATGTCTCAATGTTGAGTTTTTAAACGTCCCACCGTCAAAGTGTGCTGTGCTTGAGGTTCTTTGTAAATATAGTCGATAACCGTATTTTAAGAATTGACGCCGTTGTTGGTACGAAACCTTGGTCGTCACCAGAGGATGTTGCATGCACTCCCCGCCACTGTTACCTTGCATCCTGGTTAATAATGAGTAGCTTGGACTGGTCCGTAAAGCGAACACTGACTGTCAAGGGTAGAAATTTAACACATGTGACACGGGCTATTTCACTGGGTCTCTATGTCCTTGACCTGCAAACAGAGATCCAGATTTAATTTGAAAGCCCCATGTATGATGCTTCAAACTTCCAAGCCTGATATTGAGGCGAACTTAGCGTATTTGTTAAATTGTAGATATATTGACTTGGAAGTCCATTCAACTTCCTATTTTACTCAAGCACTTCTCCGTTTTGTTTTAGACCAAAAAGACTCCTGAAGGTGGCATCAAGGTGGCAAAAAATGTTTGCCTCAACGTGTTTGATAGAACTGAGGCCTTTGCCATTGACCCAAATGGTCTCCTCTGCCAAAGTCGTGATCAATTTGGTTGGCATGGAGCACGGGCCACAAAGGGTGTCAGAAACCATGGTGAGGTTATAACTATTTCATACATTAAATACTAACACTACTGGCAAACATTTTTTTGTTATTGAGCTTGATTAGCTACATTTGACAAGAATGTCATTTGTGAATTTTATGGTTTTTTGTTAGTGATGCTGCTCTTTACTAGCAGATACCAATGTAAATCTTTGATGGGCTGTCCTTTTGCTCTATCTTTTCATTTGCTCTTTTAATTGAATGGTACTTGGAAGCGAAGTAAGGGGCTGTATTTACCCATCCTCCATTTTCTTATCTGAGCTCGGTGTCGCAGACGTGTCACGTGTCATGGCGATATGGACTAGCTTAGCATCTGGGACGATCAAACATTTTACGTACGGCAATCAAATATGTTTGTTTGGTTCTTTTTTATAACAGAAAATGAAGCTTCTTAAAATATTTTCATGTAATTGACGTTTTTTCTCAGCTAAAAGCATTATCCCCCTCCCTTTCTCTCTCCCTCCTTCCGTTCAGAAATGTATTTCTAGTTCCGCTTAGTCAATGCCGAAGCCATAGAAGTGTGTCAATTATTAGCCTCCTTTTGTAATTGAGTGATAGCTATCCCTAAGGCATCCTCTGTATGAAGTTTGCTTTGTGATTAAACATTTTGGATTGCTCAAAGGAATATCGCTTTAAGCTGCCCGAAGAAAATAAAGTACCTAGTGATTCTCTACTCTTGGGAGCTCGGTCGTCCCAGAGTTAGTGTAGGTGTTGTAGCGGCACTTTTAAACTGGGGCATAAGTTTTACTGTGCATGGTTTGTTAGGTTTCGTCAGAGCTCAAAGTGGTTCAATAACTGAACTATACAATGTAGTTTATTAACCCTTAAATGAGATTAGAATTAGCTCTTGACTTACTGTTATATATGCCAGTATATAATTCTGAGGGGGTTTGTATCCTAATTTGGCAAAATTTCTACAAGATGTGTAGCATGGAAGGCTCAGGGACGAATCGTAGGAGACAAAAAAGTCTTACCTGACTTCTACTACTTGTAGGCAAGTACTACTATGAGGCCAAAGTCACCGACGACGGGCTGTGCCGTGTTGGCTGGTCAACTGCACTGGCCTGTCACGATATTGGCACAGACACCGAGAGTTTCGGTTTTGGCGGTACGGGAAAGAAGTCTCATCGTCGTCAGTTCGACGATTATGGCGAGTCTTTTGGGCTCAACGATGTCCTCGGCTGCTACCTCGACCTTGACTCCCGAACAATCAGCTGGTCCAAAAATGGTAGGTCTTGGTGATGACTGCAAGTTTTTGCAGTGCTATAGCTACGACTAGAGGTGGAATCTGAAGCAGTCGCCTTATTGTTTTTGGTATTGTTGACATTTGAAATTACTTGGTTTTACGCTCATTTGATGGCAATGGGGAAATTACGCATTTCCTATCGCAACTAACATAGCCCCGTATCACTGTCGCAGAGGTACATAAGGCATTTGTCAATGTCTCCGTGGTTCAGGAGGCAAGGAGTTAAGGTCGAGGTGGATGCTAATATATTTTACCATTGTAAGACATGTAGGTGTCTTATGTTATGTTTATGCTGCCAATCCATAATTGTCGGACTGAATCCCCGGCTTTTCCAACAGGCAGACGTTTCCCCAAGGCTTTTGATGTACCACCTCATCACGTCTCGGCGGGGCTTTTTCCCTCGGTGAGTCTAAAGAACGCCGAGTTGTTGTTCAACTTCGGGGAAACACCGTTCGCCTTTCCACCCACCGGCGGTTTCATTTCGATCAACACTGCCGAGGAGAAGAATGTGGTTTTATCGTCCTATACCGGTGCGTGGTAGATGTCTTCTTTATTTGATTTCTATTGCCAGCTATTCCTGTACCTTTACTTTGATTCTAGGTGGGAAGTCACAGGGCTCTTTCAAACCCAATGCAAAATCTCCACTGGCTTTGATTGTTGAGGTGAGGGCGGGGATTTTACTTATCTTTGGTAAGAGCTTCCTTTCAAGGGTGATCAAGTAAAATTGGGACTTTTGATTTGTGAAAGACAAGGGCCCATTCCACACTAGCCTTTAACCAATGCCTTGGAAACCTCAACTTGAAAACTTTGTCAGTAGATTAAACTATGATGATGCGATGGTAAGGTCGTATGCTTGCTGCGATTCTGAAGCAGATTGATGTACCTGATGCAATTGATAAAATCTCCGCTTTGCCTTTCAAAGCTGTCAATGCGGCGTTTAGCTCTTCTGTGTTAAGTGAGAGTGGGACTTCGCCATTATATAACACTGTACCCTACCTTTTCATAATAACAAATATTCGTTTTGAGATCATAGAAAGGTTGGGTCCCTATGCATTTTCGCGATGATAGAAGATACGTTGATCAGGCATCTAGTACCATTGTGGTTGTGATGGTGATGCGAATGATGATTGTGATGATGTTCTGGAAACCACCACGTCGGGATCATCACTGACGTGCAGAAGTGTGGGTGTCTTCAGGACTTTGACGCTATTAAACTGTCTTACTGCTGAGTTGTTAGACGTTACATTACCAAAGTATGCTATTTCCGAAGTCTTCAGTAGATGCAGTACATATCTGTGGTTTGATACAACAGTTCTTTCGTTGCCACAGGTTGTTGCATGCACTTCCTGCCACCCTTGTCTTGCGTCTTAGTTAGCAATGTGGAGACCGGACCACTCCACGAGCATTGATATGACACATTTGGCACCTTGCAACCACCACTGTAGCCTTTTTCCCCACTCTCGTACCACCGGGAATGGAAATCCCAATTTTAAATGCTTAAGAAATCAGGGTAACTTGTTTTCCTAAATAGATAAAAAGAATATTTGTCACACATTTGTGGCTTTGTGTTTAGGTCATGTTGTCGCGTATGTGACTAGTAGACAACGTGTTAAGTAACCTTAAAGAAGACTTATGTGGCTGGTACCTCTTGTTCTCTGATAGCCTTCACGGGAATTGGCAGAGCAAACCTACGATCAGATGATCAAATTCAAGAAATACCTTAAGGATCCAAGTCCCCGTGTCACATTGATCATTGGTGGAACCAGCGCCAGGGAGCTAACAGAGGAAATTAACAAGGGGGTAAGTCATTGCAACTTCATTCATTTACTCATCTTTACTTTTGGTGGAATCATTTCACCTGCATATTTATCTCTTTGGATGTGAGCTGTTAAATTTTATTTATCCGCAATATTTTTACCCTATCTTCAGTGGTTTTAGTCATTGCAAACTCTTTTTCGGTCCTTGTAAGGTTGTTTTCTTGCCAAATACGAGATTCGGTCCTAGCCACGTCCATCTGGTCCGGCTTCGTCTATCTGTCTGCTCCATCCGTGCATTCTGGTTCCATCCACCAAGCCTTTGTGTATCTAATTTCGTATCCATTCCTCAACCAGTGATTTGCTCCTAATCAGGCTACCTTTCTATTTATCGTCGGTTTAGTCATTCAACCTTAACTTATCACCCCACGTATTCATTGAACCATCCATCAACTCATGTGTCCTGATTAAATTCTTCACGTGTTCCTGCTCCTCTTATTCACTTTATCGCCAGTCATTTTGGTAACATGGTTTGGTGATTGCAGTGATTATACATGTAGACGAAAGAGTTTCCTCATTCAACAGAAGGGTGATGTAAAAAGGGACTTGTAGTGTGAGATTTTGTCCGGTTTGGATCTCGATCCTCCATCCATTCTTCCATTGCAGGCCTATCCTTCCACCTTTGATATGTCTCGGGTTTTCTTATCCCGAATTCGTCCATCCCACAGTTTGTCATTCAATTTAACCGACCATCCATGTATTCCTAGTCTGTCTGCTCATTTATCTGGGCATTTGTTGGCACTTAATCCGCTTTTCTAGGCATCTTTGATGCACCCAATCAAATCTGCATATTTCTATCCACCTTTAAATTGTCCATTCCCACAGTGGCCAATTTAGCCGATTTTATTATTGGCTAGCCAATCACAATCTATGTAGACAAAATCATCTGTTCAGTCGCCAGAAAGTTTATTTCAAAAAGAAAAATACACGAAAGGTCACTTTTCTGGCCCTTGCAACTTACGCCTAGCCACCCTTTCACCAGGTTGAAGTAGCTGTTACAGCTTCGTCCATCTATCCGCATCTGATCCGTCAATTCGTTTGTTTTGGGTCCATCTACTCATCAGTTCCGCGTCCAACATTCCAACTCTGATGCATTTGTGCATCTGTAGTTTTCAATCGCAAACCTGTCCATCTGTGTATTCCAGACTTAATCATTTGACTGTACATCCATTCCCTTATCCGTTCGCTCATCTATCTCTGCTTTTAGAATCCACTCATCTATCTTGTTTTATTGACCAATTCACACAACTTAGATCCGTTTATCTCTGATTCATACTCCCATTCATCCCAGGTCCATTCATTGTTTCTGACATTACTTTTACCAATTTATCCTGCATCCATCCGTACCCTCTCTGCTTACCCATTTACTTTTTTCGTCCATTCTCGAACCACCTATTTACAAACCAGGTTGACATAGTTGTCGCCACACCTGGTCGTCTGGAGGATATGATCTCGACGGGTGCCTTATTTTTATCCAATTGTCGCTTTTTCATCCTCGACGAATGTGATGGCCTCCTTTCCGCCGGCTACGAGCCAATGATCCAACGTCTGCACGCCCTCTGTCCCAAGGTCACGCCGGATGGGAAGCGTCTTCAAATGGTTGTGTGCTCAGCTACGCTGCACTCGTTCGATGTTAAGAAAATCGCCGTAGGTTTTGCTCCCTTGCAATATTCTATTAGTTACATTGGTTGCTAGTGTCACATATATGTGACGTGGCCTCTACCGCTTTATTATAAATAGTTGCACTGAATCATGGTGTAGAAGTAGATTGATTGGTGTGGGAACCGCAAATTAGATATGAGATGTTCTTAACATAAATAATTTCATTTCGTTTTCGTTTTCGAACGGCAATTACTTGGTAGACTTTGAAAACGTCTTAGCTGCTATGGTGGCTTTCATTCTGCGGTAAAGTCGGGACTATTGTTGCTTCTTTTTGACTTACAAAGTGTTTAATTATTTTTTGAAGAGGATTGTGCAACGTGCTAGCCTGGAATTGTAAGGGCATCTTACTGTAGCAGTACTACCCGCAGTGGTAAGTACCAAGTGTATCACATTTCGTGTGTCGGTCCTTTCTAATCGCTGTTAATCAAGGCAATAGACAACAGCTGTAGTGAAAGGGTGCGTAAAACACTGTGTGGTTATGAATGAGGTTTCTTGTGAAAAAGGACTTAATACCTTAACTCGTAGATATCTATTCGAAGTCGCGGAAGACCTGAAGCATAATGCAGTGTGGTGACGAGGCGCTCATTTGCTTAGCGGTAAGACATTTGAACGGTGCCGTACATCTCTAAATCACTGGCAGTCTCAGCTCACAGGCTACGGTCTCGATAGTCATTCTCATGGACGGACCAAGACAGCTCGTAAACGCCTGGTAGATGCATAGGCTTTCGAGCGGCAAATTGCACAAGAGATGAATTTTTCTATTGAAAGGGTGAAAATAATAGTTTTCTAGCATTGTAATTTCGCCGAGTATCTCGGAGATCAACGCCTTTGCACCTTAGGTTCAGGGATACTGACGAATTTTTGGCGTTGAGAGTTTCCAGATACTGGTTAACTGTTGCAGTAGAAAGTGCAGTCTATACTCCCTTACTTTTGGAGAAAAGGGGTCCCGGTTCAATTTGAACATCCTTTGCAGCTCCTCCGTACTTGCACAGGGGGGCTACACGAATAGACAGTAGCCAATTGGGCCTCCAAATTTCGTTGTAGAGACCAATTAATGGGGGACTAGAAAGGCACTCTTAAGCTGCATTAAACTGGGTTTCCCAGACTACGGTAGTTTTTCGCTATATTTGTTGCATAGCATTTGGAGAAGCTGTGATAGCGGAACATATTTGTACAGAAATGGTTTAGAAGTTGAATTCCGGTGATTAATCACCCAAAGGTGTATTCTAGCTTTTTTCCTAATGTGAGATTTGGGAAATCGCGTTCGTGCTGTGAGTCTTTTCTTTATCAGTCATTCACGCCAAATGTATTTGTGACGTTTTCGCGTAGACTCCAGTTGATGAATGACCAAAACTGCCATTATTGTAGCACCTCGAGTTGTCTTTGCAGCAGTTTATTTATGGGCATTCCTCTTCTCTTTTGTGAAGGTTGACTCGTGGGCGCTTGAAAAGCTCCGCAGGATGGTTACACTCTTGTTGTTTGTGTTAGTCCACACGGCCACTGCAACTACTCTTCTGTGTCGGTCAACTACGAAATCTTAACGAACTTTATAATTCAAGGCTTGCGATCCATTGATACTTAACCCTCCTAAGTGACGAAGAAAGCGGGTCTGTGATTGATTTGGCTCCGTTGTGTCAGTTTAGTCGAAACCACCCTGGATTCAATCTGTAGCGCACTTCTTTCCACTACAATGTTGTGATTGTGTAACAATGCTTGCTAATTGAATTCCGTCTGTCGTTTTTCTTCTCTACCTCAGAACCGGTTGATGCACTTCCCCGTTTGGATCGATTTGAAGGGTCAAGACTCCGTTCCAGAAACAGTCCATCATGTCGTAAGTCAATAACATTGCTGGTTTACTCAATAAAACACTTTTGAATGTATGATCTGATAATCTACTTCTGAAATGGAAGTAGCCCTTATTAACAAACAGGAGGTTTGGGAGACTAGTAGAGTAGATGGCACAAACAGGGCTCTAAGTCAAATTTCTGAAGTCTAAGAATGATTGTCTAGCCGTGTATTGAAGGAAAATATTGCTAGTTGGACACTTCCAAGGCCAAGGGTTGTTGTGTACTTTTTTGGCTATGAAGGTCGCTCTCTACCACGTTCTTCGTTGATAAAGTGCTTTGAAAGGATGCCGTTGATGCATTTGCCGATCACTTTTCCTAGGTGCACTCGTTTGCGCAGTATCTTAGTGTTGTCAGATGGTGCTCTGTCATTTGTCATGGTGCAAATATTGCTCGTACGCCAACTACATTAGTTGCCTTTCTTCTGTAATATCCTGTTGTCTTACCGAAACCTAAGCCTTTTTTGGATTCTCACTAAAAGTGCATATTTATTACTCACAAGGAACAAAAAGGTGGTGGAGTATGTTTCATCACTTTTTTGTTAATGCAGCGTCTGAGTTATCCAGTGAAACCTTTAAAAGTATGCGAAGTTGTGAGTGACTTCATTAAAGCACAGAAGTTCTAGCACGCTGATTCGCTGAGTAGATCCACTGAGTGTTATTTTGATGCAGAGAAAAAAAATTCGAGAAGCAGTTAGGAAGGCCGAACAAGCTTTACAGCAAATTTTTTCAAAGCTCTAACTTCGGTAATTGACCATTGCAATAACGGAACACGTGTTCAGTTTTTACAGACCATACCTGGTCAGTACATTGAATGCTCACATGCTTTGTGTATGGCTAATGTAAATTCCAACTCCGTTTTAGGTATGCCCCGTAGATCCGCATCAGGACACCTCATGGAGGCAGTTGATGAGCTCATCCACCCATCATATCCAGACTGACGGTGTTCATATGAAGGATAGACTTAATCCCAACTATGAGACGCCTGGTTAAGTCATTTCTGACCTCCAGCCCATACTCTATTCCTCCTTTATCATCATTGGTTGACCAAGTTGTTCTACCTCTTCCCTTCGACCAGAGCTTATGTCAGAGGCAGTAAAGCTACTCAAGGGACAGTACGTGGTACGAGCGATTGAACAGCAGAAAATGGACCGTGCACTGATCTTCTGTCGCACCAAGTTGGATTGTGATAATCTGGAGCAGTATTTCATCACTCTGGGTGGTGGTGAGTGTCAGCTTGATGTTGTGGTGGCATTGTTACCCCTGGATGCATTCAAGCTGCGGTTCAAGTTGAATTTAGAGCTCCAAATTTTAGCGCTAGTTCATCCTACTCACTGCCAATAAAAGTAGGAAGTAACAGAGGTAGTAGGTTCACGCATGAAACTGTATGAGAACGAAGGTGTGCAGTACAGTGATAGGACGGGCAGAAACCAGAAGTCGTGACTGTGAACATTCGATTCAGCTGCCTATTCAGTCCAATTAGACGACATCAATTCCCGTTTATTTAGTTCTTACAAAGTTCAAAACGCTTATAATTGCTAGAATTGGATGTAGTTTCCACTATAAGGGCCTTTGGTCCATTTTTCACGTAGGGTTAAACGTTTAACTATAGCTTGAAATTAGACTACAAAGTTGATACCAGTGACACATTTAGTCTGGGCTTGTGCTTTGAGACTTGTCAGTAAGAGAATGTCAGAATTCGTCAAGCCTAACAGTACCCTCATTGGCAAAAAGTACAGGCTCGCAAACGATCATCCCTCTTTAGGTGTTTGTTCCTTCTTTTCTTCTTTATTAATGCAATCAAATTCCGGCCAAGATTTCCTGCCTGAACTAAGTTTTCCGATCCTTCTATCAAAGTACGCGGTCAGTTAATGATCCGAATTGTGTATGTCTTATTCGTAAACACAATGGATGCCATATAGTAATTTTAAGAAGTTGGAAAGTCCGCTGAAGGCTTGTTTTTGACATGGTTATAAAAAATGCCAGTTTAACATTCACAAAACTAAGGGCGTCGTGGCGATTATGTTCTCAAGGAAATCAGACAATCAGTCCCAATACTTCTGTTGGCGCTTGTATTTCCTTAGGTCCATCAAAGTCCCATGGTCAATTCAGCTGCGTTTGTCTTCACAGTGATCGCAATCCTGCGGAAAGAAAGACAAATTTGCAGAAATTTAAGGTGCGTATACTAGCCTCCTACCCCCCCCCCCCACCTTCTTCCCCTTTTGCCCTTTTTCCACTGCTCCTCTATACAACCTTCAGAACGGCGATGTCAACTTCCTAATTTGCACCGATGTCGCGGCACGTGGTATCGACATAACAGGCCTACCCTATGGTGAGAACCAATGTATATGAATTCAGCTTGTGTGCTTGACTAGCCAAGTTTAAGTCCTACCCAATGCTGCAAAATCCCTTGTCACATTTGGAAAAGGCGTCTTATGCGGTGGTAGAACAACTGGCTGGAAATGACTTAAATAGTTTGAGTGAATCGGGTGCTAAATTGCTCCAAGGTAGATGTATTATGTTGAGGAGGGAAGATCCTTTATTCTTGGATACGGTGAATAGCAAGTTAAGTGTTGTCATCGGCTTTTTAAAGAACTAGAGATTGAAGCATTAAGAAGAATCTTCAATCTTGTTTAACTTGAGTGATGATGAAACGACTGGGAGGGAGAAAGTCTCGGAAACCACTGCGCGGATCAGTGCCCAATGTCAGTCACTAGTGGATGATAGGAAACTTCAAAGATTACTGGCTCATAGCTTATCAATTCTTTTTAACCGTATAAAAGTGCAACGTTTGCTATATTGAGTGTTAATGACGAGAGTGGCTTTGTCTTACTGTAGCATCAAGTAAATGAAGTATATCATTGACCATCCCTGGACCATTTACTCTCTGCGCATTCCTTAGCATGCGGAGCCAAACGACTGAGTGCATGGTGGCCTGTAAGCACGGTGGTACACCTTTTGAAGGCCGATCAAAGGCTTTGGTTGAGGTCTATCTTCTAGATACTGTGTAACTTAGGGTTGCATAAGGAAGCTGAAGAAGCAATCAGGACTAGTCAGTCAGTTAAAAAAAAGCTTTTGTTTGTACAAACAACCAAGTTGCTCGACTCCGCTTGAACTTGCTTAAATTTTCATTCCATCATGCCAGTAATCAACGTGACACTGCCAGACGAGAAACAGAACTACATTCATCGTATTGGTCGTGTTGGCAGAGCTGAACGGTGCGTCTTGTTTGCCTTTTTTCCTATCAGCAAAAATGAAATGGTTATGCATTTTAAGGTCCTAACAATGAGAATTTGTTTTCTTAATTTAGAATGGGTCTCGCTATTAGTTTGGTCTCCACGTGCAAAGAAAAGGTAGGGGTAATTTCCCATACAATTGTCTCTGAAATTATGTCGCATTACGTGTCCTCTTTTATCGCATTCCATGATACGCTCTAGATTTGATAAGTTGAATACCCTGGATTGGAATTTCTTCATCAGGCATACTTCACGAGTCCTTACTTCAGTTCAACAACATCTGAATGATACTTGATTACTTTGACAGATTAAACACATGAATTGGTTTAATAAAGTCTAATTTACAATTTTTTGACCAGTTCTACCGCACTCTCGGTTGCTTAGGGAATTTCTTTATTACCTTATTTGATCTGACTCGTCTATGTAAAACTTTTATCAGATAAGTTGTCTATGCAACTCAAGGCCTCAGTAAACAAAGCGTTGAATTAAATCTTGGGGTGTGATTACTTTATAGCCCTGATAGTTACTAGGCTGGTGGTTGAGTTTCCTTGACCCTTTCCTTGTCGCCTTCCAGAGGTTCAGTCAGTTTTGCAGCGCTATGTGGTGCTGGATATACCTCACTACGCTTGCAGTGAAGGATTTGTAAGGCATGCCAATCTAAAAAATATTAAGTACGAAGAGAAGTTGAACCACTGTTGGCTTAGATGGCATGGACAGAGCTCCTGTTTTGTTCTGACATGGAATTTTGTTCTTATAAATGAACCGTTCAAGTGATTGCTTCAAGCTGGGACCATGGCAACAACTGCGGATTCGAATCAACGGGAACGGTGTAAGTCTCCCAACGGAGCATGATAGGTGGATGGATTACGCTTCCATGTGACATTTTCTTTTCATCGCTGCAATCTCAAAACTGTGTACCCTATTATATCGCCGTGATGTCTCAAAGCCAACTATTTTCTTTGAAAAGAAAGGCCTTTGACTAATTCTTCCCCCTATTTTACCAGGTATGGTACCACGCTAACTGCAACTCCCGTGGACGTGGCTGTTTCGACACACGTCTAGTATCCAGCGGTGGCTGTTGCATTTGGTATGATGAGAAGCAGTTGTTAGGGGAGATTGAGGAGCACCTGGGCATCACCATCGACACGGTATCAAAGGATCTTCAGGTTCCTGCCAACGAGTTTGATGGAAAAGTGGTCTATGGACAAAAGTTGAAGAATAGTGGGTTTCTCCTCTCTGGTTTTTCCCTTCTTTTTCTCTCAACATTCTGATTTCTCTTTTATAAATTTGTTTTAGTCGCACCGAGTTATAAAGGTCATACGGCTGTTTTGAAGGAGGCACTAAAGGAACTCAATGTGATGGAAAAGAGGGCGCAAATAAGCTTCCTCAACCTACGATATGGCGGTGCAGCTAAGTGTTGATGATTACTCCATCGTTGCTTTTGCCACGTTATTCTTTTGCTCTCCGAATTGCTGGTTAAATTGGAAAGATTTATCCAATAATAGTCTACCATCACTTGTTTTTTGTCCCCTTAATTTGGCGAAGTTCTGCCATTCGTGAGGTGGATTTGGTAATCTTCCTGACGATGGGTTTTTCACTTACTGAATTCCGAATTTCAATTAGCAATACCTTGTGGAGGCTGCCGTTTAGTTGTGCAAATCACGTACAGCATTTACTTATGGCAGTGATGATTTCGTTACTGGGTTCTTTCCTCTGACACAGGACAGCCACGCTGGTTGTGAGGTGTTTCAGTGATCAAATCGACGGGTGGGTGCGGTTAATGCGTCACGTACATGAGGTTGGCAAATCGAGCCTAGCCAGGCAGAAGTCGTTATAATTTGGTGTTTTTGAGGTTAGAGATAGTTCTTTGTCGGCTCCATCCTCGTTAAAGCTCATTTCTGCATGGTAATTACGGTAGAATAGGGAACCTGATAATTCTGCTTCCATTCAATCATGCCTATAGACTTTTAACTTTACGTCAATACTGCATCCTCCTTCGCAGTGCTATTGTAGTAAATTTGGTGTTTACCTCTTCCACCTCGGCCTTTAATTCCTTGGACGAAGTAGGCTGATTGGATAGGGGACATTCTCTGTTGGTAGTATTATAATTGGGGTGTGGTGATCAAGGTCACGCCTGTTCAGCCTGCACCTGTTTGAGGGCGGATGATGTCTGTTTTACAACGAAATTCGGGTTCACTGACTACTAGCCTGAAAGGTGGGTTTAATAAAACCTCGTTTTTTTTGACCATCGTCATTGGTGCTCCCCTTATGGATGGCCTCTGGTGAGGCTATTACTAGTAGTCCTCTTCCATTAAAAAGCAAACTTCATTTGCATAACTAACAGGTGGTGTGCCTTTATACGGACGCATCTGTGATGGACAGTGATCGGTTGAGGAGAGAGTAGTGTGTTGCAGACATAGTAGTTTGTGAGATGACTTTCATCACTCAGGATCTCTGCTCCAAGGATGGTGAAACTTCCGCTGTACTCCAGGAGGCGGGATGGCCCTGTATAGCCAAACTAGGTCCCCTCCTCCCGGTTGACGGTAGTCTAACTGTTTTCACAATGTCTCCTATCTAAGATATGACTGTTGAGAGTGTTCGTGTGCAATGTTGGAAGTTTGCCTTATGCCTTCTATTAGACGCAGTACGTACTTCAGGACAACTTTGCCTACTACTTCCGTGTTTGGCAAAATATATTCGAAGTAACTCCCATTTTCCGATCTATGAGTATCCTAAACAGTGCAAAGCTGGTTGGTGCGTAGACTATAGTCCCATACCCGTAGAGACACTGCCCAAATCTTAAATTCAGTCTTCCAGTTGAGCAACTTTGGTGAAGGCCTGCAGCAGTCCAATTAAAGCGCAATTCCCTTTTTCCATCTGTCCATTGCTTTGCGGACGTCCACATATCGTACTTGTCTTTGGGATCAGGAAGGTCTTGTAGAGTTCAGTAAAGGATCGGCTTTTGAAGTTAGGACTTGATCGCCATGCACAGCTTCAGGCACTTCACTTTGACAAGTCCATAGACTGAAGAACACCAAAGTAATTTTTCCAGCATCCAGTGCCTTTGCGGGCTCTTTCTCCACTACTTTCCTAAAGTTGTCTACGGTGACAAGAATATCTCAGTGGTTGAGAACCCATGACGGCAGTACTCACTCTTTTCTCTGAAAATCCTATGAGCGTCGGTTGAAGTGGTACGATCGCTACGAGATGAGACCTTTCGAACCTGTTACAAGCAACGCAGGTTCAGCAGAAATCCAGTACATCTGGGGCGTTCATAGGCCACCAGTGTGGCATCTTCTTTTCGCCTACATAGTCCAATTGCTCACGTAACTCTTGAAGTACTGCTTGTACCAAGGAGTCACGACTATTAAGCTCTTAGAAGACCCAACACTGCACAATGAAACCTTATCCTCTGGGAATGGTTTCAATCATTCTTCTCATATCCATCTGGCCGCCTTGCTGGATGTAAAGAACATCTCGTAACCCATAGCCGTGGTGGAATCCATCAGTTTGCGATGAATGTGTTAGCTAAGTAGAGGAGATTTTAAAGGCACAAATACCTCCCTAACTTCCTACCTACTTTCTACTCCAGACAAGCCTGTCTTCCTCTCTACTCTTGTGTACGATATTTCTGCTCTTACCTCCATTCATACATTTATCTACCGGGTATCTCCAACTGATATATAAATGTACCTATTTGTCTATGCCTATATTCTTACTACCACATACCGATTTACTGGTTTATTCTCCACATCTGCATAATATTTTTCTAATCCATGAGTTTGTACAGCTCTGTGTTGACGAATTCGGCGTGTAATGTTTTTTTTTAATTTTATTCTAACAGTACTATTGAATGTCATTACGGGCTTTATACACCGAGCTGTACAGTTTATTGAGATGCCTCGCTGCTTGGGTGGAAGCTTCCGTGGAAGAGATGTGCCAGTGCTCTATTTGCACAGATTCTTATGACAATTGCAAGAAGTAGATTAGTGCTATTTATCTTTTGCGGTAGCAACGGGCATTGCAAAAGCCTAACAGAAGCTCGAGGGTAGAGATATCCCTTTCCCTGTCCCATTAAAAGCCTTGGCGTGGAAGCGGACACGAAAATATGCATTACTATCGCATCATAATGGTACAAAAGGGCGCGTTAATAACGACGCTCCAACTTGGTTCACTTCGTGCCAAAGCGTTAATTTAAAAGGAATGATTCGGTACTACAATACCTAGGCTAATGTCAGTGCCATGTAAATTATCTCCCAGGCATGAAATCGTGTAGACAGGGTAGGTATAGCCATAGGGAATAAAGTTTAGGCTTAAAATTTGGCACATGCCACCTCCCACATCCATTCCCACTGGTCCACATTCTCCTCTCCACGATCTTACGCTGCTCCTTCTGTACCTCATGACCACTAAGTCCGGATTGGGGATGCTGTCCTCAATACATCACTCTCGATCTCATTTCATCAATTCAGATCAGATTAGACCTGTTATAATCTGAACAATTGCGTTGCACTATTTGTTGGCGTGCAGCATGCACAGCATAGGAACTCTAATGTGCTTTCGTGGTCCCGCATCAATGAATTGTCCACACCACATTCTGCCTCCATGATATTGAAGAGGTGGACAGATTTGATAACACTTCAGAGTGTGTAGGAGGCTCCTGGCGCCATTATGGCCGTTGCCTTTAGATTGCGCATGTTCAGACTCCTTTTAGGGATGTTGTTACCCAATGCTTTTAAGCCACACTTATACCTTCTGGGCAGTTTAATTCATCCACTGTCCAGTGTGACCAATATGCTATGTGCCAATCCTTCCCTTCTCTGCAGCTAATCATGCATATCAATGAAAATGACTCCAAATCTTGTTGAACTCTCTATAAAAATGACAGCTTTCAGATGCGTTGGTGGCCTCGACCATAGGAACTCGTGCCACACGCTTAAGTTTTATCTTTTCGGTTTTATGCTTGTGCGATAATTTTCATGACATTGGCATTGGCCTAGGGATTGTGGTGCCGATGAATTTTTTGAAACAGATGTTTTGATCCGTGATGAATCGAGTTGAGGCTTCACTATTAACTCTCCACCTTTACCATTATGATGCGATATCAGTAGATGATTTCTCATCCTCTTGTACGTCAAGGTCCTTAAGGAAGCAGAAGAAGGTACTTCTCTGCCCTTAAGCCCATCAAGCCACTCTAGCTCCTGCCAGATCTTGACAGCACCTGTTGCTGCTGCCGTTGCCAATGGTCCCTCTATAAATAAATCGTGGCAATCCATCATTTACCATTGTCATATCGAAGCCGTACAGGTTAAGTACTGACACATCTCTTCTGTGGATGCTTCTACCCAAGCAGTGAGGCGTCCCAGTAAACCACTATAAAGCTCGAAGTATGTAGCAAATCTGCAATGACATTTAGCAGTGCCGACGCAAAGGAAAACAAAAAGTCGGTGTACACCAAATGCAGCAGCGCGGGGGTGCACAAACTCATGGATTTATGAAATAGCATATGGATGAGAGGGAAGATAAAGCAATGAATTGATAAGTAGTAATACGGCGAAAATGGGGTAAGTAAATGGACACTTTTATTCGCCTAATGTTAATGTGTGGTTGATTGATGAGTTTAAATTGGCAAAAACAGGACAATTTTCCTTAATGAGAGTGGAGAGGTAGATCGACTCGTCCAGAGTAATAAGTAGATAGGGTTTTAGGGAGATATTTATGCCTTCCACAGCACTGCTCCTGTGTCGTCACGTCCAATGCAAATTAATCTTACATACAACTGATTCATGCGCTTACCACACTGTCCCCCACCATTCCACTCTTCATTTTGACACTCTCACATGAGAATTCACTCTCGCGTTTACTCCTCTCATCGTCTAGCTCCATCCTCCGCTTCATTATTCTTAATTCCTTCCTCTACCGGCAAATCTCCATATACTTCAAAGGGTTAGTTATTGCCATCATTCTACTCAAAATTTATTGCAGTCACTGCATTCACTTCATGACTGTATTCTTATTCACATGGACCGGCCAGTTCAGTGTTTTTTTACTGTTTTTGCTCCATACACATCTTTCCACAGAATTTACTACTCAACTAGCTAATCTTCACTCCAATCATGGAATAGTCTCGCCAATAAACACCCTCAACACCGGTTTCATGGCGTTCACCATATGCAAGTAGGAGGAATTTGCATTGTTTTTTGGTGGAGTAAATGGTACTACGGCAATAAATTAGAGACGGCAGGGTCCGAGTGTGGTCCACTTGACCACCTGCTTGTCAGTCGGTCAGATATGGATTATCAAGCGCTGAGGAGGCAACTGCCACCTAGTCACTGTCTCAGGCTGGATACTCTCCTGTCACTTCATCATCCTAAGTCACTGTGGCTTCACTGCTGATTCTAGGATCATCAATGACAAAATTAGTGACAGAAGAGGAAAAGGCAGAACCCGAAGTACAACATTAGCCTCCCTGCTGCTTAGAATCCCTCAGGGCGAGAAAGTCTAGTTGTTGGAACACTTCCCAAC